TATAGGAAAGTCATTAATTTATTGAGAATTCACTGTGGCCACAGCAATTTGAATATTGCATTTGAAAGCCATAATGCAAGCAGCTAACATATCAAATAGAAGAACAGTTCAATGTAAGTAGCACTCGGAAGCTCATGCAACCTAGTAGTATCCATGCGCTTATGTGTATTCATCTTTAATAATGATATGCTATGAAAAAATAATTTAGCATTTCAAAGTGAAGACTGCTGCTGCTTTTTTTTTTTTTTTTTTTTTTTTTTTTTTTTTTTTTTTTTTTTTTTTTTTTTTTTTTTTTTTTTTTTTTTTTTTTTTTTTTTTTTTTTTTGCATGGTGTCTGGCTATGTAAACTACTAATAAAAAACCCCACAGTATTCAGCATGGCTTCATAGGGTTTTTGTAAAAATTAGATGAGTTAAAACATGTGAGGCCCTTAGAAAAATGCCTGCCTTATAATGCATGTCCAATAAATGTTAGTTGTTGCTGTTCATCACACCTGATGGCATTCTCTCCTATTTCACCATGAGCCCAGTCACTGCCATGTGAGTTCCTGCACTTGGGTTTGCACAGCTCCTATGCACCAGGTTTCACACCCTCTGCGACGGGTAATGCAGTGCCAAGCTCTGAGTCCAATACACAGGAACTAGACTGGAGTGAATCCATATGGGGTGGCAGAAAACAAATAAGACTAGACTTCACTCCTACCCCTGCCCTTGGCACTCTGTGCAGCTTTTGGCAAATCTTTAACCTTCCCTATGGCTCAGTTTCCCTCATCTCTGAAACAGAGAGTTTAGATGAGAGATAGAGTCTGTAAGATGACCTTCCAGTACTAATATGCCATGGTGCATGTGATGTGCTGCACGTTGAATGTTTACGTTTGGGAGGTAGAGTGAGAACCTGGCTCCCGTGGACCCCGGGAGGGTTTCATAGTTGGCCTCAGGGTATCCACGGATGCCTTGCAAGTGGGAGGCGGGCAAGGGTAGGCACACTCGACCTCGTTTTGTTTTGTTTTCTGGGAAAGAATCTCTAGTTTCAACTGACTCTCAGGAGCATTTGAGAAATCTCTACCAAAAAAAAATGAAGAAATACTTCATTATATGTTTGAATTGGAAATCTGAAATAGAATCTAACTTTTAGTGACCACCCCCTCCCACTCTCAATGGTATTTAAGGTGTCTTTATTTATTCATTCAACCAATACCTTCACTGTTCTGGGCACTGAAAAGCCCCTGCCTTTTTGCAGCTGACATTCTAATTGGGAGTGGAAAGAAGTAGGCAGTGGAGATGTAACAAGTGAATAAATGAGATAACTTCATTTGGGATAAGTGCTTTGAAGAGAATAAAAGTGAATTATGTGACACACGGACATGGGAGGGAAAGAGTGCTTCTTGAGTTAGGATGGTCTTTCCCAGGAGATGACATGACAGCCAAGTTCACATATATTGCATCCTGATGAGCACTGTGAGAGAGGCAAGACAATCCCCGATTGACAGACACACTCCCTGAGAGACAGACAGGGTGAGCAAGCACCTTGCCTGTGGTCGCACAGCTACAAGGGGCAGAACCAAGATTAGAATCCAGGTTCAGAGCACTGCAGCCATTTCTTTCATTGTTTCAGGAGGGTGCAGGCAGGCTTCTGTACCTGGGAAGACTGAATTTCCACCTGGAGCCAGGAGGAGAAAACAATAGGTATGGCGACTCCTAGGGTTTCCTTGGTTCTCTCTCTACAGAAGTCTTAGCAATAAGAAAATGCGCCATGGGCTTGGCTGAGGCTGCTGCCAGCTGATGAGTCAGGGCTGCCTTAGAATCCCCCTAAAATCAGCTGGAACATATATTTAGCTGAAGGCCAACCCCATTGCCAAGGATAGGAAAGCTCATTGATGCTTATACGTACAGGCTTGAGCTTTGTAGGGTTTGTCCTGTTATTTCTAGATATTTTCCTGGAGAGTAAGAGAAAGACCCTCAAACCAGCATGATGGTCAGTCAAGGTAGCCTTCCTCTTAGTAACAGCTCATCTTAGCAGTGCTGAGAAGAAGAGGCCTGGCTAGAACAAGGGAGAGGTCTGTAGGGAGACAGATCTGGACTGGAAGCCTTCTGGTTCTGCTCTTTAGAAGTTCTGCTCTTTAGAAGCTCCTTCACCCTTTAGAATAGAATAAGTAGCCATACCTATTGTCACCTCAATTCTCTTATGTATATAGAGAGGATAATAATAGTTCATTGTTATTCATAAAGTTCAAGAACTTCATGAAGTTCTTGTGGGAATTATATAAGGTCATATAAATAAAGGCACTTAGCCCAGATCCAGGAACATGTTGGATTCTTGGTAAATGCCACTTATTATTATTAATAACAATAGTTCCTAGCAGTCCCTGTCCCAACAGTTTCCTGGGGTTCTAATCAAGGCCAAACACTGATTTTCCTCTTCAGACCCAGAGATGCTTCCTATGAGACTATTGAAAGCTTCTCGAGGGTTGAATTGGGCCATTCATTAAAAATTCATAGATCAATAAAATCTAGTCTTTTCCCCCTGAGAGCTCACCATTTAGAGGGGGAGCCAATCACGTAAAAGGATAACCCAACATAATGGGATCCACATAATGATGAAGGATCATATAAGGAATCACATGGACTTTAGTATAAGTCCTGTCTTCACCACTTACACCTGTGTGGTCTTGGGCAAGTTATTTAACCACTGTGAACTTCAGTTTCCATTCTGTAAAATGCGGACAATGGTAAAAGCTACCACATAAGGTTGTTGAGGATTAAATGCAGTCATATTTGCTATGTAGTTAGTGCCAGCACACAGGAAGCATGGAATAAGTACAAACACCAGTAACACTGAGAAGAGTCACCAGTTCTGCTTTTGTGGGGGAAGGTTGGTTATCAGGTAAAGCTTCAGAGAAGGGGATATCTGAGCTGAGCTTTGAAGGAAAGTCAAAGATTTGCAAAAAGGAAAGGAAGGAAAGGGAAAGCCAACTGTGGAGATAGCAGGTACAGAGGCATGGGGGTGTGAGCATGAGTATTTCCAAGCTTTTCTGGCTGATTTTCCAGTTTGGCTGTGGGGGACACGCAGGAGTTGATACTGGACAGGCACATAGACCAACCCTTCTCTTCACCTCTTCTCATGTTTTCTTACTCCCAGCTTCCACTTTTCTCTTGTTGGCTGATGTTTTATTTGTAATTGACTCCTCTCTGAGACAGACTGCTACTGCTCCCCAGATGAAGGGCTACCCCCTTCCAGTATCCAAGGGGTTCAGGGTAACTTACGGGCTTACGAGAGGGGAGAGAAGAAGGCAGGTGGGAGTTGGAGCCACAGATAACACAGGGGGATTCAGGAAAAGGAATATCAGCTGCATTTATGTCAAGGTTCCCAAGGATTAGGAAAGGAGATGTGAGGAGGCGGTCGGAAAGCCCTCCTTGCCCAGCTATCAGGTCATCACTTTGATTAATTACTTGCCTTTCTCTCAATGAGCAGACCAGGCTCTGCTTTGCTCCTGTTGCTGGCAGGAGAGCCCCAGAAGACATACTGGAGCAGAGAAATTTGATTCTGTGATACAAATGCTTTCCTGGGTTAGGCTAACTGAATCCCTTGGCAGAGATGTCCTGGCAGCTGGAGCAGAGGCACCCAGGTTCACTTAGAACATTGTCAATGCAGCCCTCATTGTCTCATCCACCTGTACTCCTCATTACCCTGGTCTGGATGGTGCCAGGATCTTCCATTGTCTTTCTACGGCATCATCCCCTGGCTGAATGGACAATCAGGTCCCTGTAGACATGGTGCCAACCACACACTGAGGCTGTAGCAGCTCTATTCCAAAACACACAGAACTGGCCAACCTGGAAAATCCCCAGGGTCCTAGGGAACTCACCTTCAGGCTAGTCTAGTATGCCTTTACCCCAACCCATCCTTCCTCAAAGGAAAAAATGATCTTTGGACCAACATCTGAAACATCCCTATCAAAGCTTCATGCCTTTGGCTTAAGGCTTTATTCTCTACTAAAATATTATCCATTCCAAATGGATTTGCCTCTAAGCCCCATCACTCATGGTACTTACCACATGAAAATTTCAGGGAATATGAACAATTTGAAAGCATGAATTGTGCCTCCTTTACAATTGTATCTCCACTGCCTAGACCCTAAGACTGAGAAGAGACTTAATAAACAATCATTGTGGGAGGACATTGTGACGTCATGGGAAGGTATTTGGAATCAGACAGGCCTTAACCTATGTACTCTTAGGCAAGAGACTTAACTTTTCTCAAGCTTAGTTTTTTTATGTGTATAATGGAGATGACATCTCATAAAGCTGTCATGTAGATTAAATAAAATAACTGACATAAGATGAAGATTAGAGTCTGGTACATTATTATTATTCACTAAATGGTAGCTTCACTTTGTGATCAAATGTGCATATACAAAAACCTTTCATGAGGAGAAATTCATTCTCCAGACAGGCTGTAAGACCCTCATTCTCAACTATGGGAACAAAAATTCCTGAGAAGTCCTAAAGGAAGGACACAGTGGAAAGTGAAGTTGGTTTTGAAAGAATGGAAGAGGATTGTGCATCGTTTTTTTACCTTTATTAGATGTACTGACACTGCCCAAGCATCTTGCTATCACCTAAATAGCGTCCAGAACTTCAAGGAGAGAGTGGGTCCTCAACTGAACAACTTTCCTGTTTCTGGGGAGGAGGTGGTAGTGGTGAAGATGGGTGGGCAGGAAATACAGAGCTGTGACAGTTCATCAGATTGGTTGTATAAGTTGTGATGCTTAAGTAGCAGTTTGTGTTTTTTAGTACAAATGTATTCAAAAATTATTTGTTTATTCAAAGTATAAAAGAAAAGACTGTGAAACTCAGAAGAATTTGGATAGATGTTATAAGTATGTGAGTTAGGAAAAAGAATGATGTTTTGTACCATGGACAGCTCCCAATAATTTTACACCCTCCTTGAGCCTGTATCATGAGCGAGATTCCACTAACTCTGTATTTCCCCATATCCAGATTGGGGATCGTGTCATGGCATTTGTCAATTACAATGCCTGGGCAGAGGTGGTCTGCACACCAGTGGAGTTTGTCTACAAGATTCCAGATGACATGAGCTTCTCCGAGGCTGCCGCATTCCCCATGAACTTCGTCACAGCTTACATGATGCTCTTTGAAGTTGCCAACCTCCGGGAAGGGATGTCTGTGCTTGTGCACTCGGCTGGAGGTGGTGTGGTAAGTCGGCTCCTTGTGATCCTTCTTCTTCAAGGTCATGATAGTGGAAGTGGAATGACACCCAATTAACAATGAGATTGGTTCTGGTGGATCTCACATGGATGGTAGAGTCCATATAGATGACTGCATTGGGGACAGGGTGGTTTCTGTTGAGAAGCACCCTCAGTGTTGGTATCATGATGAAATGTTGTGTCGATCATAGTGAGATGCTTCACAAATCATGCACTACTATTATTTGAAACGCTGAAAGGGTGGATGGTTTACTTTTTTGATAAATTGCAGTGGATTTGAAATGGTCTCTATGTTAATGACATTCTTATTCATTTGTGTTCTGCTATATTTTCTTGGGTGGAATAAAGGCAGACAGAGATTGTACTAGCACACTGGGAGTAACACATAATCCTAAGTATACCCATGAGAGTGGTTGCACAGTCAGTGTCATCTGTCAGCTGTGTCTTTGCCAAGAGAGAAAGTGATGGAAATCAAAATTGTTGCTCTGGAGTTCAGGGATGGCAGAAATTTCTTTTATAGCTTGGATGTGTCTCAGCACCAGTCATTCTGTGCTTACTACATGCCCACCACATGGTAAGCACAATGTGCCCATCACAGTCTGCTGGGGTTGGGGTGGAACACTAATCTTTTTGAGAGTAGGAGGTATTACTCACTAATTCCACAAAATATTTACTAAACATATGAGGGCACTTCAAAAAGTTCAAGAAAAATGGGATTAAAAGATACTACTAATCTTTCCATAAAATTTTTGAAGAACCCTCATATACTATGTTCTAGACTCTATGGATATAGAGATCAACAAGAGAAGGTCCTGCACACCATCTAATAGAACTTGAGAGGTTCTCAGAGTCGGTGACTCTGGGGTTTGATGAACTGAGACATGAACTCTTATAACTGGGTCTATCTGAAAGCTATTTTCACTGGAGGCTTTGCTAACATTGATTTTTAAAAAAAAAAAATCTTGGCTTTCGACAACTATCAAAACCCTAGGTGATGTAAAGCACATTTCCATTTTTCCTTTCTGAAAAGACAAGTTCACATCCAAAACCAAAAAGGCAAAGATATGAAACTTTTGGAATGCCTTAAGACAAATATCTTCAATTAACTTCGCAAATTTGCTGATGTCTTCTGACCATAAGTAAAGATATTATAAAAGCTAAAAACTCCTTAGTGAAGAAATTGATTTCAGTTTCAGAGAATCTGCTAACAGCAAGCAAGCCATTTAAAATGTTGGCATTTATGATCTTAGTGTGCTCAGCATGCAAAGTAATAGAAACTCAACATTAGCTCCAGTCTTTATAGTGATGCTACCCTCGGTTCTTCTGAGAGTCAGTGTTTATTCATTGGTGTCCATGATGTTTCATTTCATATTTTAATTTTTTAATTTTTTGTTCCTGGAACAAAGAAGAATGTATCAGGGGCATGTGTATCACAAAAGAAATAAAATCTTGGAAAATAACAAAAATTTTTACCATACTTTATTCTGGGCTTACAGACACTACCAGCAACAAGAACTAAAGTGTAAAACAGGTGAAAGAACTGGGGAAAGGGGACAATAACAGTAGGAAAATGAGTTAATGCACATAATGCAGACAATAGTGTCCTGAAATTTTGTCGAACATGGATGACAGTTTTGTCTCTTAGCTTCCTAATTGTGAGTAAAAATAGGGAAAAATGAGCACCGTGAGATCTACTGTTCATTTGATGGAAACAAACCAGTTACTAAGGGAAGCTGTAACTAGTACTGGGTTTTGAGACCAGAGGAATATTTCTTTTTATTTATTTATTTATATCATTATTTTTTTACATTCTAAGATGTTGCAGAGCAGTTGCGGGGGGAGAAGAGGGGGAAGGGAAAAGGAAATAGGGTGAGAGAAGGAGGAAGGAGGGGGGTGTGGTCAGAGCCCATGACAACCCCCTCATTCCAGAGGAATATCTCTCTGTAGTTTCTCATAAAAGATGTATGCTGAAATGCAATGGACATCCTCAACAAAACTGTTACAGTGATTGCAACTGTTTCATGAAGCTTTCTTATGGTATGCTCTTAATGTCATCTAATAGCATCAAAGTAAATCAAAATTTAGTGAAAGCGCATATTCTGGGGCCAAAAGAACATGGTCTGGCTTAATCTTCAGACAGAGTTTAAAGGTGTGGGTGGACAGCACATCTCTTGGGTCTGTGGATTTCCTCCAATAGCATTTCTCCCAACCAAGATTTGATAGGTGGTACACAGTAGTTCAAGGTTACTGTCAGAGGAAAGATTTTTGGCCAAGTACAAATTCATGTATATAAACACTTAACTGATCTGAGGTAAGGTTGACACTGTCTTACAAAAATTAAGAAGTCCTAAGGAGAGCCTAGACCATTCCACCACCCCACAGTGGCAAGAACAGTAGGTCCCCCCACCCCACCCCAGTCAGAACTAGATTCCTCCCAAGAAGACAACTGGCTGCTGTTCTCATAGTGGGGGGAGCCCCCAGTTTGTACTTTTCTGTACATTATCTGCAATACCTTGGAAAGGAACAGAGGTGCTTCCCATCACTGTTTGACAAATCTGATAAATGCAGCCACCAAATTCTTGCTTGCTGGGGTAGGTAGGATAATGCTTCCCCACCCCATAAGTCCACATTCGAATCCCTGGCACCTGTGTGTATGTTACCCTACATGGCAAAGGAATTTTATAGATGTGGTTAAAGTAAGGACCTTGAGATGGAGAAATGATACTGAATTATCCAGGTGGGCCCAGTGTAATCACAAGGGACCTTAAAGATGGAAGAGGGAGGCAGAAGAGTCAGAGAACAATCTAGAGATGCTACGGTGCTGGCTTTGATGGTGGAGGAAGGAGCTACAAGCCAAAGAACGCAAGTGGCCTCTAGACTCTAGACAGGAAACAGATTCTCCTCCAGAGCCTCCAGAAGGAACACAGCCCTGCTAACACCTCGATTTTAGCCCAGTGAAACCCATTTTGGATTTCAGATTTCCAGAAATGTAATATAATATATCTGTGGGTTTCGGGTGTTTTTTTTGTTTTTTCTTTGAGCCTCTAAGTTTGTGGTAATTTGTTACAAAAGCAATAGGGAACCAACAGAGCCATGTTCCCTGGGCTGCCTCTCTCCTGCTCTTTTTACTGTAGAGTGTCCACGGAGACCCAAAGAAAACAGAGCTAGCAAATAGCAGAACTAGGACCTGTACCCTAATCTGGCTGATTCCAAAATCTATGCTCTTTCCACTCAACGATACAGAATGTTGGGAGAACTCAGATCGTTCATTCCTTCATTTACTTTTTCGTTTAACAAATATGTTCAACATCTACCCAGTGGGCCGGCCCGGTGGCGCACTGCGTTAGCGCGCCGCTTGGGAAGTGCGGCGGCGCTCCCGCCGAGGGTTCGGATCCCACATACAGACCAGTTCCCACTCACTGGCTGAGCGAGGCGCGGGAGCAACACCGAGGGTTGCGATCCCGTTGCCGGTCCCGGTCTGGTACGGGGGCGACGCTGAGGGTTGTGATCCGTTGCCGGACATGGAAAAAAAAAAAAAAAAAAAAAAAAAAAAAACATCTACCCAGTACTAAGTATAAACAGCTTAAAGAGTGAAAAGACCGTACACATTTTCAAACTTGATGTTGATGAGATGATGAGGAAGATTAAACCTGATTAGGATAAAGTTACTTAAACTGGGTTCTATAGAGTGTGCAGTCCTAATGGCGCCAAGACTTCTGATTTTCATCCAAAGCTGGGATGGGGAATTTGCAGACAGCGTGTGAGGAACACCAGCCTTAGCTTTGATTTCAAGGAAACTTTAGTAGAGCATAGGAAAATAATTCAATCCAGAGCAGGATACACGCTCATTGGAATTGTCCAAGCGCCTTTACTACTCTGTCACATCTCTGAAGTCATTGTTTTTGTCTAACAATAGCATGACCAAATGGCCTGAGATGGTAGTACCCCTAATCAAACCTTTAAAATCTGGTTGAAAATTGGCTCCTAATCCCTTAAAGGAAAAGTAACAAAATAAGCAACAAAGTGGGACTCATGTCAGAAACTTTGAGGGTTTTGCCACCAATCCCATTTAACAGGTCTTGATGATGAAGCTCCCATGACTTTGAACATCTTGATTGGCAGTGCGCTCAGTTTCTGAAGAGTGGAGTTACTGTTACTGTGAGGTTATTTGCATCTACATTTGACATACGATGCTTCCCAGTTTTCATAGTTTTTTTTTACCTTTACCATCATGTCATCTGAGCAGAGATTACAGTAGGCCGAGAGCATCATTCCATTTTACAGAAATGGAAGCTGGTGGTTACACAAGTTGGAAAGGTCATGAGTGTAAGTGCCAGAATGTGCCCAGGCTTCCTGACACTGTGTCTGATGCTCCTGCTGCTCCACCACCCAGCCCTCAGCATCAGACAGACGAGGGAACTGAGATGCACTCACCTTGCCCACCTCTTCAGCAAATGTCTCTGGGAAGAGAAGGCGGGATCAGTACCTTCCTCCATGCACCCTGCCTGCCAGCCACACCGAACTCACTCTTCTCAGAACACACCTACCCCTGTGAACCTCGGTGCCTTTTCACGTACTGTTTCTTCTTTCCAAAATGGTCTTCTCTCCTAATTCAAATGTCACCTCCTCTGAGCAGCCATGCTGTACTCCCCTGTCTGGGTACCCAGCTCTTGGTAAGAGAATCCTCATAGCTTTTCACGTGTAGGTTCATCTCTGGGCACCATCTCCGGGGCAGAGCTGTTATTTAACAAAGGAGGCAAGGTCACGTGGTAGGAAGACAGGCAAACCTGAACTTAACCCTCAGCTCTACCATTTAATAGGTGGCTGACTTTGGGCAAGTAACTTAATTTCTGTAAAACAGAAACCATAATGTCTGCCTCATGTGAGGATTAAGTGAGAAAATGAAGGGCTTAGCACAGCACTTGACCATTTATAGTTTATAAATGGTTAGAAGAGAGAGGTGATAGAGTTTCCTTGTATTCATAGCAG